GGGAAAAAAAAAGCCAAAACARCTTAACTATATGCTTTTTCGATTTTTTTTTTCAATAAATGTCTAGAGAAGAATCTACATGTAACATTCACATTTTTGCTTTTGCTATACTATGACAATTTATTTTAAATTGTTCACAGTCTTTTCAAAATAATTTATCACTTATGTTACTATTATGAGTCCAAAAGCAGATTTTTTATGGAGAATGCGAGCAAAACCCATGAATCTGAATGCATAAACCCTGATTTACCCACATTTAATGCTCTGAAATTCTTTGATCAAATTATGTCAGCAATTGGTCAATATACCAGTGAGGAGGCACACTTTTTGATGTTAATTTCTCTTTAAAGGAGAATGATGATGATGATGATAATGATGACAAATTTATAATTATTGCAATAATTATTTCTATTATTATTATTTCAGGTAATTGAGGGATTATGTAGAGAAGCTCTAATGTATTTTAATCTAGGGGCAAAGGAACTAAAATAAGCTAGCTGTTAGAACAATAGAACTCTAGCTTGYGTTACTGGCTCTAATATTTAAAATCTACACTGCAAAAAAATATGCTGGCACACAAGTAAAACAGAAAATCATCTGAATGTAGACATCACTTTTATTACCAAGGAAAAACTTTTTTCAGTTCCAAAGTCCCCCAACTGAAATAGATCTGCCACTAAAATTATCTACAAAGCAACCTTGCTACTGATAAGAATGTTGTCTAGTTGACTTGTCTATATAAGCACATGGTGAACACAGATCCCTGAGAATTTTGTTCCTGTGGGATAAATAAAACTTCATTTCCTATATGTTTATGGCCTTCCTTCCTTTTAACACCTCACCACTACTACAGAGCAATGACACCCTTTYCTCCAGATGATCTTTAGGATTCTCCCACTATTGAGACAACAAATGCTGCAGCTTTCACTTGCAACAGAGGTCTCTTGCAATTTGTTAGGAATAAAGATTTAGATGGTTGAGTGGTATCATTGGACACTTCCCTCAGTGGCACACTGCCTAAAGTTGTTGACGTCTGCTATATAGTTACTGATGTTCCCAGCACACTTTGATGCAAAAGATGCCTCGGCTGAACCCTATCAGCCTAAAATTACCTTTCAAAGTCATTGTATGGCCGAATTACGTCACAATTACATGGTTTCTAAGTTAGTGGCAAGAACATGCTGTGTGAATAAATGTGATTTATGCACTTGTGATAATATTTACAGCTCTCTGAATAGCACAAGCTCCCTGAAAACATCTACCTGCTTATCTCGGTGCCAAGTTATCASACCGTGTGTGTCTGTAGGGGATACAACGGCCCCAGGGAGCTAGGGATAGACTCCATTCACGGTGAATCCCGTGTGTCTGGGGGCCACATGCCACGCTGGACTCATGCTCTGAGACCTTTATCCACGCTCTGTCACCTTCCCCGTCACAGAGGTTGGTGTTTCCCTCCGGGCGCTGCGCGACGTCTCTCCCCAGCCTATGTCCCTTCCTCTGGGCTTCTGCACAGGCCTGTGCGCGGGGCAGAGGCTTTATCCCAGCAGGTGAAACCCGGAGGCCACCCAGAGCATCGGGCAGCGAACGGGACGGGAGGGAAGAGGAGGAAAAGGAGGCGAAGGTCCTTCCAGCCCSGGGTGGGCGTTGCGGCACGGCGGCCAATGGAGCGGGAGCGGTGGAGCTGTGGAGACAGGTGCCGGGCCGGGCTCGGGGCTGGGCTGTGGTGGTGGGTTGAGCTCCCGGCCATGCCCCGGGCCGGGCTGTGGTGCTGGTTGAGCTCCGGGCCGGGCTGTGGTGCTGGGTTGAGCTCCGGGCCATGCCCCGGGCCGGGCTGTGGTGCTGGTTGAGCTCCGGGCCGGGCTGTGGTGCTGGGTTGAGCTCCGGGCCATGCCCCGGGCCGTGCCCGCCTCGGGAGCGGGCCAGGAGGGTGCTCCCCTCACGGTACAGCGAGCGCCCGGAGCGGGGGCGGGGTGAGTCGTGCCAACCCCCCCCGCCACAGTCTGTGCCGCTAATGCCTTTTGTCTGCTGCTGCGCAGGATCCCCGCGAGTGAGATTCACCTGCCGCTGCCTCCAGCAGACAGGAAGGAAGGAAGGAAGAAAGAAGGCTAATCCCGCTGCGCGGTTTAKCGGCTCCCCCGCCAGCAGGTGAGGCGGCGGGAGAGGTGGGCACTACGGCCCGAGCCCTGGGCGGCCGGCCCCCGCCTGCCCAGCATGTCCGGTGAGTACCCCCGGCCGCAGCCCCCGGCCGCTGCCCTCTCCCGCTGCCCGCTCCCGCACACGGGGCCGATCGGCAGCTCAGGCTGGAGCACCCCCGCCCCGGGGCTTTGCCCTTCTCACACCCCGGGGCGGGCGAGGGTCTCTTCTGCTTTGTTATTAGCAGAGTGGTGTAATTAGCAGCTTTAGAGGAGGATTTTAACTGTCTGGGTGATGGGGTGAAATAGCTGAACTTATTTATGTATTCTCCTTGTATGCACAGCGTGGCCTGCTTGGATCTCTGCGAGCCTTCCTGGTGGATCCCCAAGGTGACAGGCTGGGGTTGGCTCCCTCAGTCTAAGGCAGATTCAGRGAAACTTTTTAATGCTCCTCCTTGCACAGCAGTGGTAATTGTCTTAATCACTTATCATTAAAGCCATGAGGTACTAGTTTTAGGGCTAATCAGACAGGATGGGTGCAGGTGCTGATCTGTTCCTTGAACATACTCAACTTTTCCTTGCTTTTGAGAGCAGCGGCTCCCACAAAGCTTGGTTTATTGTACCATTTAAAAGGCATCAGGACCGATGGATCCCTAGTTTGAATTCTTCTATGTTGCACTTCAGCACTGGAAAGATGCAAAAAGTGAATCTGCAGATGAAAGGATTAGAGGGTTGTGGTTTTGTTTGGATGGGGTTTTTTTGTTTTGGGGTTGTTCTTTAATTTTTGGGGGGGTTTGTTTGGTTGGTTGGTTGGTTTTTTTGTTTGTTTTTTGATTGAAAGGAAGGTGTGGAAAGACTGGAAACATCTAACTTGATACATGCCACAAAGTTCCCTGTGCTGTCTCTGGCTCACTTAAGCAATTATTACTAATAATTATTACTAATTTTCAAACTGGTATATGACTGTTTCGGGACTAGTGTTGAGTGTCATGTGCTATGACTATTTGCAACTTACGATATTATTACATTTGAGTTTTCACGAGCATCATTTGCTATCTATCGARTAACATGTCAGAGTCTTGAAGCAGAATGTAACAATTCTTATCTGCAAGACACATAGTAAAAGCTACACAGAATTGGAATCAAATGCTCTTCCAACACAACAGCGATAATACTGTCAACTAAAATTCAGTATTGTTTCAAGAAAAGAAAAAATCTGGTTTTGGATGAGGCAGAACTTCATTAGACCAAGAGAAATATTGTATGCCGTTAAATGTCAATTAAAATTCATTTGTGAAAAGGTCTGTGTAAAAWGTTTGTTGTTTATCTTCATTAATTATGTAAATGTTTCTACTATTGGACTTAAAGAAGCATGGGAATTAAAACTTACTAGTGCAAGAACAGCCTCTGCTGGAAACTTGTGTAGTAATTTCTGATAGTGGTCTGACTCAGGTTATTGTCTGACATCATTATTCATTTTATCTACTTATGACAAAATACTTCTTGGCTGCTTACAAGGTTGTGGGTGTCAGCAGGAGCAGAGCTTTCTGTTCCAGGACATGGYTGTGCTAGGTCAGAGAAGTGAGAAGGCCTGTAACTTGCATTATCTTTTTGATAATCTAACACTTCTTCTCTGAGCCTTACTTGTAGAGGAAGATCCATGGGGAGCTCCGTGTGGGAGAGGGAGTAACAAAATTGTTGGGGAGCATGCTGGGAGTTGAGCTGTGTTATATCACTGTCGCTTGGGATTTTGGAGAGGTGTTTTGGCTCAGTGGGCTCAGGTCCAGGCTGCAGCCTGCTCACCCTGCAGATTGTCTCTGGAGCAGAAGGGGGGAGGTGACAGAAGAGCAACAGATGGCATCRGGGAGGAATTTAGGAAAGCAGTTGTACCGTGTTGGTTAGTATGAATGGCAGTATACACTGGGGATCTAGGCAGCCTGTTGGAGACTTTCAGCTCTTGATTTATCTGTTCTTWTTTTTATAAGTGCATAAGATGACAATGTGTTGTTACCTAGAATGCTCTTGCAGAAAAGTTACTACATAGGAGCATCTGGCCCCCTGTTGCCATTTTGCAGTGGGAAGCTTGGAAAATTGGAATTGTTACTCTAGGAGCCACAGCTAAAGCACATTTATCCTTTTTCTGTCTATCAGAAGAAATATAAAAATATGTCTGATGGGTTATGGAAAAACCCTCCCTACCCTACCTACATATTTAAATTTGTCTAGAAGTTGGCAAGTGCATCTGGGTCACTCAGTGCTTGTTATTATCATCACTCCTGATTCTCAAAATGGGTACCTGGTGTTTATTAATTCTCTTTTTCTCTTTGAACATCAAAGTGAGCACTGCCCTGTCTGTTTTCTCTGTATTATAAATAATGCTTCTAGATGCCCTRGAATTATTTTCATGCCTGTCGAAGAATTTTGCCTCTGGCAGTGTCAGAGGTATTGCTTCTATGAGTAAGTATCATAAAAAGCTGGTAATCTTGGAAAAGGGCTATAACAAGTTACTTACAAGATTGCCCTGACTGTGGTGATTCACATTATTTTTGCTGTTTTTTCTGTGTTGCTGCAGAACAGGTTCTAGAATAATCCAGCAAGTTACTTCCTTGAAAATCCTTGTTTTGTTCTAAGAAACTATTGTTAGGTAACAAAACTGAGGAGCCTCTACTGATGATAATGATTTCTTAATTTGCATCATCATGCGTTCTGTGGTAATTCAGACAAGAGAAATGAGYAGCTTTATAAATTCTTATGACAGGGTTTTAAAGGGGATTCTAATCATAAGCTTACTCTTCTCATAATTCACTGATAGTCAGTGGTATTAGCCATAAGATTTCACAGGTTCAAAACAATTTGCTTGAAAACTTAATGCCCTTAAGAGCAGGTGGTGTCCATAAAAAATCCTGTTGTTATTCAGCACACAGGATTGAAGTTATGTTTAGTGGTGTTCCTGATATTTCAAAAAAAATTCCAAAAAAACAAGCCAAAAACCAGTTGCAATGAGTTTTAAATACCTACACCTCTGGTTTTCAAACTTGAAGAAGATTTGATCTTTTAAAGTCACTGAGTGAAACCCTGTGTGCATTGGATTTAATGCAAAATTGTCCTTGATTTCAGCTAAATGGAAAATTTCAGGTAAACCATTTACTTTCATAGATTTATGTGAAAACCTGATCCTTAGTTTCAGTTATAAAAATAAAATATTTACTTATAGGCTGTTTTCCAAAGAACAAGGCAAGTCCTGCTTCCTTGAAAACAAGGATTAGATGAAGGGAAGAGTAATGATAAAATATTTTGATTTTAAAATACCTATAGATCCTTAATGAATTAGTGATGCCCCTGTATGATTTTAAAATCACTAGCATATGCTTCTTCTCATTTTGTGCCAGAAATATTTTAATGTCAAACRTTTTCAGTAAATAGTTTGATTATTTATTTAATTATCTCTGTAATGATTCAGTGTATTATGAACATGCATCCCACATCTGATTCTCAAAACAGACCCTTGGTTTCTTTTCTTTGTGAGGTACCAGCAAGAGTTTCTTAGAAGCAGAAGTTATTTGGCAGTTTTCTTCCTTGTGGTTATGACTACAGCTTTTGAACCAGGGTTACAGGACATGAAAGCATYTGTAGGATGTGGTAATTTGCCATACCAGCTTGCTGAGCTATTTGATGAATAGTTTGTATATTTTTGTATGTGTTACTTAAGTGAAGAAAGATTCAGCTTCTGTAGCTAAAAGAATTTGCAAAAGYGATGTGAAGAGTGCATTTTTGTGGTTGTTAGTTGAAACAGTATTTTAAGATTYAAACTAATTTTCCACTCATTTCACAATTTGCTTTTTATATTAACCTACCTCCCACATTCCTCTCAGCAGTTTTTTATTACCTTTCTTTGGCTGAAGATGCTTGTTGCCTAACACAAAACTACTTTTCTTTGCTGACTTTTTGTGTCTTTTCAGAGTAATTTTATTGCTGAAGTAACCTTGAGTGGTTTTTTGGTTTATATTGATCTTYCAGGATGCTTACATTTATTCCTTTAGCCTTCTTGGAAATTGCAGTAGGAGTGGTTTATTCGCACAGCTTTCATTTTAAAGCAGCTCCTTTTCATTGTTTTCTGAAAGACCCATAACGTGCTTGAGTTTTTGTTTTAATGGGACATTTGAAAACTCATTTTTTCATTTGCTTCTTCGGAAAATTAGGTGATTAGTAATGTTATTGGAGTTTGCTTATCTGTGGGCTATGCAAACTACTTTAAGTTTGGATGGACGACTGGGAGTTTTTTACACAAAGTTTGACACTACTGGCATTCTCCTGAGGTACAGAGATGTATGGCAATGCCAGCAAATGTAAGGTATTTGTGTTTTAAGATGAAGGTGGCTGGCTGGGGATGAGTGAAAGAGGGCAAAAACTGGGGGAAAAGACAACACATCAGTGTTGTCACATCAGTCCATGTTTTACTCTGGATTTGGAGGACATGAAAGAAATACTTGGTGTCTGTTGATTTATCAGAGGCTTCAGCCATGTTTTATTGCAAACCTTGATGGTGGTTAGTGGTTAGAACTTAATCATTTTGGCAACCTCTGGCTCAGGCAGGCATGAGGTCATTTGTTGAGTTCTCTGTCACTAGTTCTGTGAGATTCTTTCCTAGTGTTTCTCACAGACCCTGGAAACTGTATGACAAGTTGTTTATGTTGGTATTGTTTGGTTGTTATAATTTATTTAATGCAATTGCCTGTCCCTTGAGATGATGGTGGTTCTGAACCAGTATTTCAACACAAGTGTTTATTGAACTCCTGTAGAGCTCAGAGAAATGTCCCTCATCTGTGTGACCTGCTCGTCTTGTTCTGGTGAACTTTGAAGCTTGMAATGTACCATCCTGCTCTGAGGAGGCTGTTCACCTTGCTGAGTTACAGGTTCTGTCCCCAGGAGAGCTTTGATAGTGGTAGTTCTGTCACAGGGCAGAGCTGAAGAACGAGGCCTTTGTGATCCTGCCACAGGCCTGATATCTCTACAAAATATGTTTCTCTTGTACGGGAGTGTAGGTTGCTTTCCTTTTTATTGTAACTTGTTTTCTTGTGTTTTTCTTGACAATGAGGAACACTCCTAAATTTCCTGGAGTTATTTGAGGTAGGGATCTTCAGCTTCTAGGAGGTGTACTGATCTTGGTAGCAATTTCTCTGCACTTGTTCAGCCAGCATCAGGTACCCCAGTACAAAGAAGGCAGAGCAAAAGTAATACTGGGTTGATTCAGTGGCCTTGTGGAAAGAAGAACATTTCTGGCTAGTACTCAACAGCCTGTTCTTTTCCTTAGCTTTTGGCACTGTATAARAAAGAAAATTTTCCTTATTTGTTGTATAATACTATGTTAGCTAAATATAAAATCTAAATATGTACAGATCAGGTTTTTGTTGTGGGTTTGTTTTTTTTTTTAATTGACATTATGTTTGGGCAATAAGACTTTGGGAGTTATTTGTTTAAGGCTAGTCCAGAAACTTTATACTTGACACTGTGAATATCAGGCAAACAAAAATAATAAAAATCAGAAACACACATTCTGCACTCRCATTCACTGGATTTCTATTCAATTGTGTCTTTTGGGGGGAATCTGTGAGAGAAAAGAGCTCATCACAGGAGCTGCAGGTTGTTACAAGCTGTAGGATTTTGCTTGTCTGGAAGAGGAGGGAGCCTGGCAAAAGGGCTTATGTTAAAGCTGAAGTGACTCTTCTGAATGTTTTTTGCAGTAACAGATCAAGCCTTTGTGACCCTTGCTACTGATGATGTGTACTGTCAAGGTGCTCTTGTTCTCGGACAGTCATTGAAGAACCATAGGACATCCCGAAAACTGGCAGTTCTAATTACCCCAGAGGTTTCCAGTGGGATTAGGTAAGTATTAGTGTGTGTTTGGAGATTTAAATAATGGAGGAGTAAGCAACAGCATGAAAGATTTTAGTAGGTTTCCTGTGGATTTCCCAGCATTACACTTAGAACTTCCCCCTTGGCTAGTGATTTCTAAGGGGAGTCTCAAATAACATCCATTATAAGCTCCTAAGCCTAATAAGGATTCACTTGCAGAAGTAGAGCTTGTGTCTGGCAGTGATCTCATAATTGAGAACATAAGCTGAATATTTGGAACTAAGGTTTTAGTGCCTTGCACTACTTCAGTTTTTTCCCCCAATTGTTTCTCTCTAAGACAGATGTTATACATAACCACCTGTGATATCAGAGCTCTCMATAAACCTAAGGGCACAGTTTCTCCTGACTAACCTTGAAATATTGGTGCACAGCTATCATGATGAGATATTMATTTCTTCTTTCTTTTTTGTATAAATCACTTTCCAATTTATGTTGTGATTCTACAGGCACTACAGAGTAGCATTTACAGAAATCTTATTAAGTCTGAGCTCAAGCCCTGTCACTTGTTAAAAGGCACTTGCCATGCCATAGAAACTTGAAGTCATGGTTCTTCTAAGTCTTAGGAAATGTGCAAACTCTGTTTYCTGTATGCCATGTGAATGTATTTGCACTGCATCTGGCTCAAAAAACATATTTTCACATTTTTGCTGTGACTGGGTGCACAAAAATTGTTTTTACAGGCTTTTAAAGGACTTTTATGGATATTGTCAGAGCACTGTAACCTTCCTGAGGGAATATGTATCTGTTTGATGCATGGGTCAATACTAAGTCTGTAATTCTTTTCATGCCCATTCAGTAGGAAGAAAAACCTTTGTAACATAGATTTTAAATCAAAGATAGCATTAAAAAAARGTACATCACTGAAATATACTTCTAAAAAGCTGTACTACACCTAGTTCTTTCCCAGTTAATTCTTATTCTTTGAAGATCAGTCAGGCAAAAACTAATGATCCTGAAATCTAGATTTCAATCAGCACAGGGTTTTCTTTTTCTGTGTTTGTGAGACAGTGAGGACTTTTATTATAGTGCAGTGTAAATAAATAAGCTGTGTTTAAAAGACTGGATTTTTTTACTTCTCAAAGGAAAATTACCTGCTTTGGTGTTACCTATAGAATTCCCATRAAATGCATGCATGGAAAAAGGATGTCTAGCTAGAAGTTTAATTTGAGGTTWTCTATGGTAGTGAGCAAGTTGCCTGTTTTAAAAGGTGCAGTTCTGAAGCTGTGTTTACTTGGACACAGTAGGTACAAATGASTGTGCTGGCAGTGCATGTCTCATCCTGTAAAATGCAGAGGGAACACTCTGTGTTGCTGTTCTTTAGAATCAATTGTGCAGGATGAAAAGTGCTTTAATTTCTGTTAGTGTTTCTATAGCAGATAAGTGATCTCYTCTGACTTCTTATTCTAACCAATCAATCTGGCTTTTGTTATTCTCATCATTAATGGGATGCTGTGTGTCAATTTTCATGCATCTTGTGAACTCTGATGACCTTGTCTAAACTCTCTTCTTTCTCTCCCTTGCTCACTCGGGTAGGTCAGTCCTCAGCAGCGTGTTTGATGAAGTGATCGAGGTGGATGTGCTGGACAGTGCTGACTCAGTCCATTTGGCTCTGATGCAGAGGCCAGAACTGGGTGTAACCTTCACTAAGCTTCATTGTTGGACTCTTACTCATTATAGCAAATGTGTCTTCATGGATGCAGACACTTTGGTGAGCMGAGTGGGAGCCATGGGAACATTTGTGTCTGTCTCTGAGTGTGGGATGCTTCCTTGTCAGGCAGCCTGTGAAGTGACCAGATTTATTGGTGGTCACAGGAGCTCCATCCTGGCATGTTTTAGCAATTGCTCATGGTTTTTCTGGCTGCATAAAAATAAATACAGTTTGGAGAGTAGCCTCAGGACTATCCTTGAAAGAGATCACAAACTCACTCTGTGCATCTTGTCTTCTGACAGAAATTTAAAATAGATCTTTCTCATGTACTTTTGTTTGGAATTATTCTGGTCTGCAAGGCAGGATGGTTTTTATATGGAAAAAAATCCCAGACACAATAATTACTCTTTTAAAAAAAAGTTTTTAGAGGTATAGAGATAAAAATGACCATAATTTTGCCAACAATCAAGTCAGCCTTCCTTTGCACTTTCATGGCTCACTTTGAAAGATGGGGATGCATTTTAATTTAATAGGATTTTATTTGAATTAGAAACCAAATTAAGTTATTCTTCTTGAGGAAGAAGGCTTATGATTTCTTGTTTTATATCAAAGTTAAAGGAGGAAGGCAAATTTTTGTCTTTGTTTTAAATTCAATTAAGTAATCTTACTTCTAAAAAGTAAGATAAAAAGTAAAGGTTTTCACAGTGGCTCAGTTGTAGGTGGGGCCCTGAATATCAGTGACTGCACAGCTGTCTTTCCACAAACTTTGAAAGTTATCTGAGCCTTAACCTAATTGTTTTTCCCACTTCCTTGTGAAGCTTAAAAGAAAAAAGAAAAGCGAATCTGTGAACTTAAGTTACATTAGAAAACTGGTAGCAAGAGATAGTTCTTCTATTGCCCCTGTAGTCAGTCTGTTGCYTACTAAAATGATTTAGATTTCCAATTTTCATTCAGTTCTGTTGTAGTTACCGAGAATAATAGACTTGGAAAGGTGAGCTAAGAAAGGATGAAATTTTGCGTTTTCATTGTATAATATTTAAAGAGACCTTCAGGATGGTCTCCAAGATTCATGAAATAATTTCATGGGCTTTGTGCTATTATCAGAAAAATCATGGAGAACCACAATTAATGTTGCCTTCTTATATTAAAAATAGAGGTTCTGACCCCTAACGTATTTTACACGTTATTTTTCCACTGCTTTTATGCTCTGCAAGCTGTATTCTAGGCCAAACTAGCAATTTATTGCATTGGTACTAATTTGACAACGCATATTTTTGGCAAACATTTGCTTCAACACTTTTTTCTCATTTCCTGCTCTACCTAAGGTACTTTGCAATGTTGATGAATTGTTTGATTGGGAAGAGTTTTCAGCAGCTCCTGATTCTGGCTGGCCTGATTGTTTCAACAGCGGTGTGTTTGTGTTCCGGCCCTCCTTGSACACCTACAACCTGCTGCTCCAGTTTGCTGCTGAGCATGGCAGCTTTGATGGTAAGGGGCAAGGTGTAAGGAATGAAGTGCAAGACAATTTCCAGGCTGTTCAGGCAGAGCAGAGGAATGCAGGAGTTCTCTGGGCTTTTTGTAATTTTACAAGAATTCAAGGTGCAGAACTTTGCTTCTTACACTGTACTTAAGACCTGTTGACTTACTGTGGACTGTGCTTCCCAGAAAAGGGCAGTGTGTATGAGCTTTGCGTGGTAAGTGTTAATTTTGCTGTCTGACTGAGGAGAGAGAAATACAGCTGATCTCCAGCCTTCTGCTCTGAGGGAGACCAAACATTACTCGTTTCTTCCTCTTTACAATAGGACTTCATTTACACTGAGCTTGAATCAGGTATTATGCACTTGTACTTGCTCATGTGGCCATATATTCAAATCCAAGTTACAATCCCATGAACACACCAATCTCAGTGCCCAGTCTCACTCCCATCCTCGGATGAGAAATTTTCATACAAGTTTGAGTGTACACATGTTGTGGTAATACTCTTTCATGTATTCTTTAGGAGGTGATCAAGGCTTGTTGAACAGCTTCTTCAGCAACTGGGCAACAGCAGATATTGGCAAACATTTGCCTTTTCTCTATAACTTAAGCAGCAGCTCTCTGTACACCTATGTTCCTGCTTTCAATCAGTGAGTAATAACACTTCTGACTGACTGTACACCTCTGCGATTTGTTAACAAACATCCTTTTGTAAGAGAGATTAATAATGGCACATTCTGTTGATTATAAATTACAGTATCACAAATGACCTTATGTAGAAGGCATGCTGTAGAAACTTAAATGTAATATGAATGTCTGGACACAGGAAAGTGTTGGCTACACTTTTCTTTCCAAGAAGCTTAGTTCATTTTTGACARGATGTAATTACTTTGGCATTAGGTTCTGACAGCTTTGCTTTTAAACTTGTTCCTTTGTTTTTGAGTAATTAAGAGAAACAGTTTGCATTGCTTAATTTTTTTTTTTTTGAGCCATTCCTTAGACTCTGTGAAATTAAATTTGTGCTACTAATTATATGACTTCAAACAATGCAGTTGAGAAACTTTTCTGGTAAAAGGCAATTTGCATTTAGGATGTCATAAATTTCTGTTCCAGTTGCACAATACACTCTAACTGGATGATTAACTTAGGTCGATGGGTTTTTTTAGTAATTTTTAATATGAGATCAGAAGTAACCATTTTAGGTGACTAAATATTTGAAGTGATATTTATTTTTTTGTGAATAGAGCATGAAGGAGGACTGGAAATGGTACTGCATGAGCCTGTCAGTTTCTTTCGTGAACGTTTCCACTGGAATCAGCAGCTGGAAGCAAATTGCAATGCAACTTTTTGTTTTTTATATGTTAAACAAGATGAATTAAACCAATGAGATAAGAAAAATAATATTAATATATATAATCTTGAATGTGTTGCTGTTGCAAAATGTCAAATTACCTCACCTGTAAGCATGTTTCTTCTAGGAGTTCATATTAATTAAAAAAATAAATTATATATTGACCTCTGTGTTTGATCTCTACAGTTTTGGTCGAGATGCCAAAGTTGTTCACTTCTTGGGGGCAACAAAGCCTTGGAACTACAAATACAACCTTCAAACAAAGAGAGTTATGCAGGATGACACTGCCTCAGGATCTTTTCATCAGCTGCCATTTCTTGGCCTCTGGTGGAATATATACAGTGCCAGTATATTGCCTTTGTTGGAAAAACTTCAAAAGATGGAAGACTTGGAATCTGAGGAATACAAGGTAACTGATAAGGAGTTAGTGGGAATATGTTGAAATCAAATCACAAAATTGTGAAAATTCCATCTTTGCTAGAGGAAGGAATTTCACAGTGTGGTGGGCTGGCCCTGGCTGGATTCCAAGTGCGCATCAAAGCCGTTCTGTCACTCCTAAGATGGACAGGGGTGAGAAACTACAAGGAGAGGCTCATGGGTCTGGATAAGGACAGGGAGAAATCTCTTACCAGGTACCATCAAAGGTGAAACAGGCTCAGCTTGTGGAAATTAATAAAATTTGTTACTGATCAAATCAGAGTAGGGGAATGAGAAACAAAACCAAATTTTGGAATACCTTCTCCCTATCCCTCACTTCTTCCCGGGCTCAACTTTTTTCCCCCATTTTCTTTGACTCCTTCCCCCAGTGGCACATGGGGATGGAGAATGGAGGCTGATGTCACTTCATCATGTGTCTCTGCTGCTCCTTCCTCCCCCGGGACTGGATTCCTCACACATTTTCCCTGCTCCAGTGTGKAGTCCCTCCCATGGACTTTTCCAATATGAGTCCTTCCCATGAGCTGCAGTTCTTCATGAGCTGCTCTGATGCAGTATTCCCTTCTGTGGGATGTAGGCCCTCAGGAACAGCCTGCCCCAGGATGGGTCCCCCATGGGGTCACAAGTCCTGCCAGCAAACCTGCTCCAGTGCAGGCTCCTCTCTTCATGGGTCCAGTGGYCCTGCCAGGAGTCTCCATCAYGGGCTTCCCATGGGGTCACARCCTCCTTCAGRCATCCACCTGCTGTGGTGTGGGGTCCGCCATGGGGTGCAGGTGGATCTGTGCTCCACCATAGACCTGCATGGGYTGCAGAAGGACATCCTGATGCACCAAGGGCTGCAGGTGAATCTCTGCTCCGGCTCCTGGAGCAGCTCCTCCCCTTCCTTYTTCACTRACCCTGGTGTCTGCAGGGTTGTTGTTCCCACATGTTCTCACTCCTCCATCTGTTGTTCTCCAGTTGCAAGCAACTTTTCCTCCTTAAATCTCTTACCCCAAAGGCACTACCACCATCACTGATTGGGTTGGCCAGTGACAAGTTCATTTTGGAGACAGTTGTCGTTGGCTCCATTGGGCTTGGGGGAAGCTTCTAGCAGTTTCTCACAGAAGCTACTCCTGTAGTCACCCTGCTACCAAAACCTTGCCATGCAATCCCAATATGTGTGGGAACACTCATTATCTGTTGGCTGGTAGTAGCACTGATTSCTTGTAGAAGCATCCAGAAGTAGCCATTTAGGAAGAATTTTTAGTACTATTTGCTTTTCAAAAATGTCCTGCAGCCAACTTATTAATTGATAAAGTTTTTGTGGTAATGTATGTGCGTGCAAAAGTATGATACAAATTAGCCAGAGAAGGGAAAATTTGGCCATGAAGTAAAYGGACTTCTGTTTTTCTTGAAGCTAAGTTGATGTAGACCATCAAACTACTCTTGAACTGTAAGAGAATTTTCCTTTTGAGAATTACATTATAACTTGTTTTATGAGGGTCATGATGAATAGGTCATTTTTGCAAAACCAGTGTTAATTGTGTTTAGGCTGTTATACACAGTACTCCTATGTCGTCAAACGTTTACTGATCTCTTTATGCTTTTTTTTTCTTCAAAGGAAATGGAAAAATGTGTGCTTTTCATTAATAGAATATAAAAAAATCCATTGATAAATATATGATTTCTTAGACACTGGCAGCATAAAGAAATGTGTAGGAGAAGTAGTTTTTAATTTTGTATCCAGACAAGACAAATTAGCTCCTATTTATGCATATGTAAGTACTTTCTTAATGTTTTGTAATGTTAAATTATTACCACAGTTGAACTAATTGCATAGTCACATAAGATCAGTTGAATAATTGCCATCAAAACCCCAGAGAATAATTTGGCCTGTTAACCTCCTRACAAATTGGAAAGCACAGGAAGGAGTGGGTAGTTTTTGATCTTAGGCTTTGGTATGTTTTAATTTTTAAGGCATTGCATATTAAAGAAATATTCCAACTATGCTAAATGATGGTGGAAATACCTGTTAGATTTACCTCCTGATGATGCTGGTGTACTCATGAGTGCAAAAACCYAAACAGACGGTCTGASTCTAGAACCACAGACATTTTTGCATTTAATAAGTCATTCATTTAATGCTAAGATCCCTCTAAGGAAGTGCAACTGCTGTAAATAAGGTGCTGTTTTCCTGAAAAATTGTATTTTAKTGGTGAGATGTTCTTGTTTTCATTAGCACACTTTCGATGGAGTTGAAGTTACACTGAAGAAGGTCAGTCCTTGTGCGGCCAGTTCTCTGCAAATGCCTGAGCTTCCAGAGCAGACAAGTGAAGTAAATCCCACAGCAAACTTGCCTGAGGAACTCGCTTTCAAAGCTGTGAGTGTGATGTATATTATGAAATGCACTAAAAAAGTTAAATTATATCCTAAAAGGAAATTCTTTCATTTTGCTTCTGATCTGAAAGATCGTATCTTCAGCTCAGCTGTACCTATTGAATTGTCTCACTAGCATTAAAAATAGTCTAAAGACTATTTATTTTCTTTAATCTTTAGCAAYGCATGCATGATGTGTCTGGAGGTTGAAAGAGTTTGCTTTGCATTTTAGGAAGAGGTTATTTATTCAAAGTTGTTAAGTACCTAATAAAATGCTATATTAAAAAAATCTGCTACCTAAGTAATATTTTGAATACTAATACTTTGGTGAGCTAATATATTTAAAACTAGAATCCTTTCTATCATCTCTGCAGAAATTTTTTTCCCACAAGTGTTGACCCAGMAAACTGTTCCTCAGATTTTTTGACTTGGGCAGCAAGGAGAATCTTGAAAAAAATGAATACGGCAGTCTTCTGCTTCTTTGTCACATTTTTGTATTTGTGTTTGTGTTACACTGATTCTCCTTATTTTATGCAGTAATTAAGTTGGACATAACACAATACCTCTGCAGATGTAAGTCATCATGTATTGCATGATAAACCATGGTACACATGGTACAATTAGTGTTCTGATGTCTTCTGGTATTGTAAATTGGGAACTACACTCCAGAAGATGAAGACAACTTTTAATATGTTATTTGCTTCATTTCTTTAGACTACAGCTACTCTATAAAGTAAAACTGTAATTTTCCTTTCCCCTTCCTCCCACTTTTTCCCTTTCCCCTCTGAGTCTGAAGGGGCTGGAGGAAAATTGCAAATCTTCAAGGTCTATAACTTAAGAATAATTTATTTGCAAAGATGTATTTTCTTGTGTGCTTTATGCATTTGACGTCACTGGAAAGGCTCAAACCAAATAGGGACACATTATCAAGATGGTTTTTTGGGTTAAAAAAATCATTATGGTCACTTAAAGTCATTTCATTGAAAGTTAAATTTCTGTTAGAATTCCATTTACTAGGATTGGTTTGTCAGAAGACCACGTTAATTGGAAGGTAATAGCCTGCTTCCCTTCTTACTTGGGAATACTATCATTACACTTTTCATTGCTCAGTTTCAATAGTCTTGTGGGATTTTTTGGGGGGAMAGGCTTTAGAATGGGGTCTGTCTACTCATTTATGTTTTGATATCTGTCAAAAGCAAATATTTGGGATAGTATTTTTAGGCAATCTGTTTTACCTATTGTTTTGGAATATATTGTTCTGTTCTTATTTTACGCATTTAAAATGCTTATGTGAGAGCAAGCTATTACCCTAAAATGAGATTTKTCTTGTTGAAGTTTGGCCTCATGAATGGTAGGCATCTACTATAAAATCCCTTTCCACGCTGTATGTGTAGTCACTGAAGAATGACATCCACTTTGAACCTATTTTAGGATGAGATGAGCTGCCCTCTGGAGGTACTTACCCCAAATTGAYTATAGTAGGAGCTTTGACTCAATGCCATTTTTGATAGCTGAAGGTGGGTGACATGAATTTTCTCCTTGCTGATAATGTGCTTCCTCACTTTCCTCCCATCCATTACTTTGCCCTACCCCAAGACTGAAAGTGATTGTATTGTATGAATTCTCATGATAAGGAAATTATGAAAAAATACTGTCCTAGTAAAACCTCAGTGGCTGTATTTTAGCAACCTGTGTRTGAAGTTGAACCAGGAGATTCTAACGTCCATCTCTCTGAGCCTGACAGACCTTCAGAACAACCTGCATTCCAACCAGCATTTCAGGAAACCTCAGAAATGGTACATGTAGCTCTGTACATTAAACATCTGTCAATAACTGCAYGTGTGTCTTTGCTGCCAACATAATTTTGGGAAAGCTCAATTAATTTTAATGCAATGTGCAGATAAATTCCTTAATCTGTTAGCTCTGGAATTCTTTAACTCTTTCCAATATTCATGTGTGATCCCTTTCTAGTTCCCTTTTAAAAAKGTTGAGTTTTTAAATGTTTATTTTCCTGTGCTAACCTCCAAGTAATCGATGCATGGTGCTTATTGTAGTTCTTTAATACTAATACAAGCAAAGTTGTTTGAGTGTTTCGTGTTTGTTTGTTCTGTTATGTTGCATTTTGTTATGGGTTTTTTTACCTGCTGAAATGTTTCCAAGCAAGTGGAAAGGGAGTGTGCAGAAGCTTGAGTGACTAGCCCTTCCTTTGTGATTTTTCACTGCATTTACACACGAGGGCAGTGTGACCACAGGGGCAGATGTGGTGTTGCTGGCGTGTCACGGATTTGTAAGGTACAGAACACAGCCATTTTCCCAATGAGGGCTTTTGTATGATTGTGAAGTACTGTGGTGAAATACTTTAAGACTCAGAAACAAATCTTTAGCTCCTGTGGAGCCAGGAGTGTTTAGGCCCCAGATAAAATTCTTAATTTCTGAAAACATGATGATTCCTGTCAGCTTGTAAATGTCTTACAAAGCTGTTGGTAAAACTTGCCAATGATAAAGAAAGAAATCTACACACATTACTGCAGGCTGAAAAGTAAATACCAAATACTGCTGCATGTCTGCCTTTATAGGAAGGAAGCATGCTCCCTAGAGTGTTGTGCCATGATTAGTCATGTGCAGAGTGGGACACAGGTAGGGGATGCTATATATGGAAGGATGCTGTTACCCAAGCATTTAGTGTCAGGTYGGCTGTTTGAAATACCTTACTTTGTCTTACACATGTCCTGTGCCTTATCTGCCCCAAACTGGCAAATGTAATGGATAATCCAGGGCGTTTAGGCAATTTAAGACATTGATTCCTGCCCATTAAGTTATATTCTGAAGCTCTTGTAGCTTGAATTTATGAGGGCTTTACTAGAAAGCCATTGTAGTTGATTTCAATTTTACTTACGAGTTATTTTCCTTCGAGCCTCTTTGAATAGTACTGAAAGCAAGTTTTTGGTGGCTACTTTGATTAGTCGTTGTTATATTTCATCTTTATTACAGATGATGATTATTGGGATGTTCCCTTTTTGCTGGCATTGGTCAATTATGGATATGGTTTTTCTTTTATGTGGTAGAAATTGTCACTAATAATGTGTCTTGCATTTTTGCACCTATGATGACTCGAGTTTGAACCAGCATTTACAATTTCAGACTGTCAATTAAAATGAAATAGCTTTTGGTATAATTAATAGTGTCCATCTTTTGAATTAATTTTATGAGTAATGTGCCTCACATCTGCTAARTAATACTGATCTCACTGGAGTTCAAGTAAAACAAAATGACCAAAAATTCTAGAAATGTTCACATGAAAGCCTGTTGGAAACAACATTTGCGTAGATAAATTATAAATGCTTAATTGTAGCAGAGATTCTACTCTAACCTGGCCATATTTGTAATATTTTCATTGTATTGTTGATGAGTATGCCAAGATCTGAGTTAAGATCAGTAAAATAAATGTTTGGTATGTTCAAAGATGCCAYGGAAAGTAGTAAAAGCATGGGAAAATGAGGTCACATTATCAAAGCAGGAATGAATGTCTGAATACTGTTTGTTTTATTGTTTTAACTGGGAGTGTACAGTACAGAAGTTTGACATTTAAGGTTTAACTTCACAATATTGAAATAAGGACAACCAAATGACTGTTTTCCCACTGTTCTGCTTCTTCCCACAGGATGAGGTTGCATGCTCTGTTTCAGAGCTGTCTATTCAATCCAAACCAGCAAAACCAATTCCAGAAGATGAACGGAGAAAATGGGAGGAAGGGCGCATGGACTATATGGGRAAAGATGCTTTTGAACATATCAAAAAGAAATTGGATGCATTTTTGCACTAAGGATGTMCTGTTATGGCCATCATGATACATTTCTTTAGAAATGCAATTCTTGTATACTTGGCTGTCTTAGCAGTTTACCTGACACCAGAGTTAGAATTTATTATGGACCCTCATACATTCCTGGGGGAGATTTAACAGATACAGACTCTTGGTTTTTAACTGATAAGTGTGCCTCATCTTTATTTGTTACATGTGTCTAATTTTCATTGTACTCCTTTAGTGCCTTCTGAAGAATAATGAATGGTGTCCTCTGAGTATAAACTCTCATGTGTTTATCACTCTTCCCTGCTGCTCCCCAGAGTATTCTGCAGAAACACTCATGAGCAGGAAACATGTTGGAAGTTAAAATTATTTTGGCAGCTGAGTTTATTTCCCAAACTGAGATTATTCCCAAAGTATTTTCAGCAGTTGTTATAAAAAGAAAAAAAACCCCCTTGTTCTTGAAACCCACTTTCAAGGGTGACATGGTGTAGACTTCAATATGAGAAAGAAGTGAAGAAATGAAATCCTGACCTCATAGGAGTCTGCCACAAAACTTTTTAATTTAAATATGTGTAGGATTAGAGGAGCTTCAGACTTCACCTGAGATCACTAGTGGATGCTCTTCTTATTTAAGGGAAGCTGCTCAGCTCCAYAACTAGTGTGAGGAAGAGTGATTTAAAACACTTGAGACACACTGATAATGTGTATTAACCTTTTATATTGTTGCAATAGGATGCTGATGCTTTTTAAAATATTGCAAGCTTTAGTTGCACATTCTGAGTTGTGTGGTCAGAGGAAGAAACTCTGGCAGCATGGTGTAAACCTTCTGGTGCTTTATATCGATTTGTTTACAGTACTTCAACTGCAGCTGCTAAAGGCCTTTGGCTTAGCATGGTTGTTCCATATTGCAGGTAATTTGAGTGCAACTGAAAACACAGTTGGCACTTATTTTCGTAAGCTGGCCCTTTGAAGATCCTTTAAACAATGGCTGTATGTGGGAAACAGTAAATCTGTGAAGATAATTCCAGAAAAAAAACTACTGATGAGACTGCATTATTTTATGGATACTAATGGGGAATTGTTTTGTGAATTTGGATATTTAAATTTTACTCATCTCAGTGAGTTGTTTTAACAAAAAAGTAAAATATTTTCTTTCAAAGCAAAAAACTTCTAAAGAAAGATTCTTGACAGTCAYGCTAATATGATAACATATTTGACACAGTTATCTGTAACCTGCAATAAGAATTCTGCTGTGATGTTGCAGGACTGATAAAGTTTTGATCTTTATATGYCACCAGTTTTGGTAGAGATACACCTAATGAAATATCTTGGAATTCTGTTTAAAAGCAATGATGTACCATTATGCATAGATGCTAAAAGAAAAAAAGGAGGATAGGAGGGAAGAAGAAAATTTTATTTTGTTTTCCCCCATTTAAAAGGATGAGAGGGTAGGGCAGGAAATAATTTGCACTAATCAGGAAAGGAATTAAAGAGTCAAAAGGTCCCTTAAAAGAAGAAAAAAAAAATACCTTTGAGCATTTTAGAATTACTTCCTAATATTCACAATAGGAGATTTTATTTACTCTTGCAGGAATTTCTGATTTTATCTATTTCTCACTTAGCATTAAACTCTTAAAGCGGAAATCTGATTGGCGTGTCTGCTGAATACAAGCTTCTAGCTCAAGTTAGGTGTTTAGGGTCAACAGAGAAATTGAGAAGAGCATACTTCTGTGCATCTCTCTTTGGTTAACCTTGGCACCCTGGACAGCCTGTGTTTCTGGGTGGGTGACCTGCACATATTAACACAGGTAGGTGTGTTCTACCTCTTGGTACTGTGGCCCAAGTGGGTGGGTGCAGCAGGGTGGAGGTTACAGCAGCTGCAGTGCACCCTTACTCATGCGGCATTTGGTCTGCTGCTTATCTGTGTTCCTTAGTGATCCTTGTGCACTTCTGAGAAAGTTCTCTGTTTTATARGAATTGTTGCTAATACAATTCAGTTTTTGAAAACTATATAAAGCTGTAGTCAGCAATGTGAATCCATACTTCATGGAGCTCTATTTTTTACAGTAACTACTAGATCTTACYGGGTACATTAATTAGATTATGGAAGAAAAAAATACTGATGTGAAATCAGTAACTGAAAGGTTTTAAAATTGTCATATGAATGTAGTAAAATGTGTCATTGAGCACATTTCAAACTGTTGATATGTACTATGGTAGTCTGTGCTGCTTGTAAATGTTTTGCAAAGAATTGTAATACATTAATATAATGGAAATAAAAGAAATGGAAAAGCCGTATGAAGTCATGTGCTTACCAGCTGATGATGAACTATAGGTTGTTTACTTTGTGCCAGGGAGTATTACTTGTGATTGACTAGTTAGTTTAATTTCTTTTTTAATTTTATTTAATTGCTTTTGAGACATTAGCATTACCGGCTGAGCAGAATTAAAAGTTGAGAGTTATAATTATTTCTGCAGACATACATAATTACAATGTTTAGGATCTCTTGAATTAGCAAACACTAGTTGGTTTATTTGATTTCATGAAAATGTACAGCTGTTAAAAGCCCTGCCCTAGTTTTTGTGTCCTGTCTTCACACACAAAAAATTGAACTAGTTACATATAATGTAGAGTTGGCTTCTGGCACAAAGCTGTTGCCACCACGGTGTGAAAAGGSAGAATTTTGTTTGTGAATCCAGTGCTGTGCTTCAGGCAGTGTTCTCTGCTTTTATGGTCATCACTCYGCAATCCTGGGGTCACAGCCAGGTCTGAGGGGTCACAGGCTGCGTGTGGCCATGAACCACAGCGCTGAGGTTTGCTAAGTCAAAATGCATCTTGGGGAAAAAATGGTTACCAAGCTTCACTTGGAATTTTTTTACCACATTAAATTGTGGTATAGCCTCAAGTATTTTTAGGGTAGAGAAAGTTAAGAAATGTAAGTTTATGGTGGCATCTTTAAACAAGGCCAGACTATGATGTACTATTGTGTGGCAGACTCGGTATTTAAGGAGGACAGCTTGTGTTTAAAACAAAACATGCTTATTCTTCATGTGCTTGGAATTATTCACAGCTTGACTTAGAGGGTACTTTTATTTGCCATACAACATCTTTATTGGGTCCTCTTCATGTATAAGGAGGAGATRGTGTGGGTGCTCCACACAAAAATTCTTGAAAATTTTAGACATGTGGGTTAATGCACTTCAGAACCTGCAGGAAAAGGAAATTGTAGTTCTTGAAGTATCGCTTTACTTACTGCCTAGTGTCTTGTGAGGACTTTTCCATCTGGGTTATTCTTGGGAAATAAGTTTTCTTTGTCTCTCTGAATCAGTCAGCTCACAGCAAGGKTTTTTTCTAAAGCTGGCACTTGACAAAATGCTTTGTTTTGTTTGTTTTTCTTCACCATGATTTTTCTGTCCATRAATGGGAGGCTGCGTTAGTAGCAGGTGCTTGATATTTCTGTTTGCTCTTATAAACATCTAGCTGTTCACCAGTAAGTCTACAGTATGCCTATTTATTCCTTAATGGATCTGATTCTCTTACTTTCCTAATCTAAACTGGTTTGATTCCAGTAACTTTGAACATAAGAAGAAATGAGCATGTTTGGTTTTTTTTTTTAATTCATAGCTGATTATTTCAAATCTCACATTCCAATTTCCCCCCAGTTTTCATAATTTTGGGATTTTATTTTAGTAGTTTGAATTTTTGTTGGTTTGGTTTTTTTTTTTGGTTTGCTTGTTTGCTTTTTATCAGCCCCATATATGAGATTAAATGTATGGTAGTAAATTCTTAAATGGCTTCCAAAAATACATGTCAGTTGATACTGCTCATTGAAGTAGTCTGCACTGTCAGTATATTGGTTGCAGAATATTTCAGCCAAAATTCTGTTTATCCCAAATTGGATGGCTAATCAACAGCTTCTTTTGTGTTGAAAGTCACAACTTTCAATTTTTAAGTTACACTTTGCATCCTGCTATAAGCTTTCGGTTTGTATTAACATTATACCATAATTATAGCAAAGGTAGCTAAAAAATGTAATTGACTAAAACTTTTATAATTGCTATAAAACTTACAATTATATGAGTAAAGGAAAAAATACAGTTGCAAGAATTTTTTTCTTGACTTTTAATTTGACTGTTCTTAGAACCCTTTCAGCTTCAAATTGGAGAAATAAAAACCCTAAAATTCCAAGACAGAGAGCCTCTGACTTGATTATTTTAATACTTGTCAGGATGGCATGACATTAGCTGCCTTGGAAAACTGTTCAATTTTATGGCATTGTAAAGCTTTTCGAACAGTAAATATCTGAAAGAGATTATTTGTTTATTTTAGAGCAGTAGTATTTTCAGAGCCTTCAAATCATGTTAAGTACTTGGAACAGAACTGACTGTGTGTGATGAATGGGCACCTCTTTTATGTTTTGTTTAGTTTGAAGACTTTTTTTTTTTCAAACCTCCATAAATGCTTCCTGTTCCAAACCTTTTACTCACAACTTTTAGACACATGGCAGAGCAGAAGCCAGAGTGGTTTGGATCCCATAGTAACCCCATTTATCTCAACATGGCAAGTTAATGACTTTTTGAAAAATATTTTTGTCTTGCTTTCAAAAAATCTTAGTGATGCAATAGTATGGTAACACAGTAAGAAATTAGGTTTTGAATAAATCTGATTTTTTTCTAAATTGAGGTGATTAGATGTAACATTACAATAAAAACATCCTACAGAAATTCTAGTGTTTTATTGGGTTCAACACTATATATRTGCCTGTGTGTATGTATTTTAACCTACAATCTGTCATGAGCAAAAGGGGTTTTTGTTACCCTGTCATTTRTCTAAATGCCTCTCAAATATACTCAGAGTCCTTGGGAATTTCAAGCTGGATAAATTTTGAGCTCAAATTACTTTTCTCAGTTTATTTGTTACACAATTATTTTGCAGCCTTAAATGATGTGATCTTGTGATCTGTGTGCTGGCACTCCCTGGAGTCCTAGCAGGGAGCAAAGCAATGTGTCCAATATTTAAACAYGGTGAAGTGAGGTTTCCTAGAAGCTTTTTGTCTCACTCCTGAGAGACTTGACAGTGACTCTGTGGAGTCAGACTAATGCAACAATTCCAAATGTCATTTAATAATGATCAAACGAGTTAAGTGGAAGTCGGCTTCATACAACATGAAAGTCAAACATTTRCACAGTGCAATCACAGCTCTTTCAGTAAAACAAACTTCATTTGTTACAGAGTAATACTTCCCTTTCTCTGGTGTCTCTATTAAACGGTGTAGGCACGTTCTTGCATGGCTAACGCTGGCTTGGAGATTGGCCAGCTGTCTCAGGTTTTGCTAATAGGCCATTTTATGTAGTCTCTTTGTGCCTTGCTACAAAGGGAGAAACCATGAGAAAGGAAGGGAGAATGCATAAAATTTAGGTTTTATTATCACATTAATATATTTTTCAAAATATCATTATAGATTATTTTTTTAGGAAACCTACAGAACTGAATTACGTTTCTTCCTTCCCTTATTCAAGAAGGTTTTGTGACTGCTTTTTTGCCTACTAATGGATTTTATGTGCTGGGTTCACAAGGCCATCTCAAGTGTTATGTTGGGTTCATCTCCTTTACAAGGATTATGCATTTGTCAGAAAATCACAAGAGCACCTTATGCAGAGCTTGCATGTTTTGTTAAAATGTATACAGACCAAGAAGTCTGCAACAGCTCCATGGCTAGGACCTGCACGGAAAAGGCAAAATAATTAACTTCCTTATCCTGCTTACCACGGTCTCCTCAAAACTTGCACCTTTTAAGATACATTTAGCTTTAGATAATGAAAGGAATTTAGGACTGAAAATAGTCTTCTCTCCTGTTCCCCATGTTTCTTGAAGTGATGTGCATCCTATTCGGCAATTTCCCATTGCTTCTCTCTCCTGGCTGCCTGCAGATCCCTCTGTGTGCTCTGTCTGCCCTCTTCCTCTCAGTGTGGGAAAAGCACATTTCCTGTGCCTGGTTCAGATCTTTAACAGCTGACAAAAGCTGCTTCTCTGTGCTGCTAGCCCTAATTCTTCCCCCTCATGCCTGAAAGCCCCTCTGACTTTCCACAGATGCCAGCTAAGATAAAATAATCTGTGTTTGGATGTCAGAAAGGCAACATGGATATCTATGTGATTCCTTAGCWTCTGACTATATGGGAGTTCAGCAAATTTAACTTTCAGAGTAATGATGTGTTACACCAGTGTTCAATTATTACTTTTGTAAGGGATGATTTTTTCGTATTTTAAGATACTTCTGTCCAGTGTGACATTGATACATCTAATCATTGCATTGTCACATGTGCCCTTTGATTTATGTGGGATGTTTTCCACATAACTTCCTTGGTGACCTTTTAGAGAAAAGGTGAAATGGGAAATAATCTGAAGAAATACCTGCATTTGGTGCTGCATCATGATCAAAACCTATGCTGTTTAGAGCTACCCAGCAGTGACTCACCACAGCCCTGACCTAAGGTGTAAGTCAGGAGGTTCTCTGAAAACACTGCAAGGGGTGCACAGTCCAGACATGCACTCTCGTGTGCTGCTCTGCAGCTCTTACCATCCCTTGTTACTTCTTAAAACCTGGGTGACCWTTAGGTGCATTGTAGGAGTTGAATACAGAGGGTTCAGGAAGACTAAGAGTCTGAGTGTCTTGCCTGCAATCTATTTTTTTGGGAGGYAAAAATACAGGAACCTCCCATTGAAAATCTCATTTGACACAAAACCCCTGCRAGAGCATGGCTAGGATTATATCTTGAGAGATGAATTCATTTAGCCTAAGTGCAGCAAGAGAGGATTAGATATTTTAATTCCCTCTCCCTAATGACTTGTGCTGACACATTTGGCTTGGAGAAGATGACCTGCACTCAGAAGTGATTAGTCTGTGAGGTGAATTTTTTTATTAATACCTCCTACTGAAAAAAGTGCTTTTTCACAAAACAAAGCCCATTTTTCAGGGGGCACAATGGCACTCTTAYGAAATCTGAGGCATTGTCACCCAAGTGGGATGTGCAGGCTTTATGAATTGGTCTCACAGGTCCCAAATTTCACAAGCTTGATAAGGAGGCCATATGATTTTTTTGTTTTTTCCTTCTCAAGGAAGTTGGGATAGGACTTAATTATGTGGAAAACATGTCAGTAAGAATTATTGTGATTTAACATATCAGAATAGCTAGGTACTCTGCTACTGATCTCGAGATGMTAACTTTATTTATCTAATTTTTTAAACATACTTGTCACTTCAGTTTTCCCTGGGAATTCTCACATGATAGACAAGTGCATGTACAGATGATAAGGTAAAAATATGCTGTATATTACTGAGAGGCCAATGCATTTGAATATGTTCCCAAATTAAATGTGCAATTTTATTTTTCCTTATTTTTTTTCATTGTTATCAATCTTACATTTTTGTGCAACAGGTTATTTCTCATTAAAAGGTAAGGCCTGAATAGAGATACTCTCTTGGGCTCAGTCCTGTTGTGTTTTAAAACAGATTTTCTGTGCAAACAAACATCTGCTATTTACAATTTGGTTTTTTAGCAGTCATCATTTGCTTGAATTGAAAACCAGTAAGAAAAGAAATTTTGTTTMATTTATTAGGTATTTGATCCCAAATTATTCACTTGAGGGGTAGATTATACASGTGACCTCTAATTTCTTTTTAAACYGCAGGCTTACTAAATTTCTGTGGATAAAAGGTTGAACAAAAACAATGCCCCTTTTAGTGATTCGAATGTAATTTACCATTTATCTCTAATCTCTGTATGACTGCACTCACGTGAATGAGAAAAAATATCAATGTCTTTAAAGCTAACCGTAGTTTGATTTTAGTATTAACCAATGCTATCTTCTTGGTTATTTTCTTCATGACACCAGCAGAAYGGGAATGTCCCACAGCACGGCTGCAGCCACGGCTTCCATATATTATTGTAAGGAGACAGCTGTTGTGGGACTGGAGTCAGCGTCTTGCGATGCTCTGCCACAGCTCCTCTTATTCTCCTGATCACAGAGTCAAACAAGGGCTCGGTGTCAGCCGACAGAGGGCTGGCCTCAGACGGATCTTGTGAGAGATTGAACAGCAGCGGAGGGTCGTGATGGGTTACACCATCCCCRAAACAGGGACAAATTCCTCTACTGAAACAGGCCCCAGAGGCTTCTGGGTGAAATACTGGAGTAGTGTAATGAGCTTTCCATAYGGTGCCACCTGTCACAGAAGCACATTGGAACAGCTTAATGTCATTAGGAGCTGGGAGGTGGTCCCTGACATGTTGGTTCATGTTTAAGTGGTCTGCTTTGATGTTCCAAGGGTAACCTTATGTTGTGCTTGTCACATAAAAGGAAAAGGTATTGTGGAAGCTGGCAGGGATTCAGATTTTTTTTGTGGCTCATGGGTGCACCGTGACTCTGGGTACCATGTGCARTATATGGATGCTTAGGCCAATATTTTGGGTACAGATGGAGTCTACCACTTTCTTGTTCCCCTTCAGAACAAGGGGAGCGGGGAGAATGGAGACTGTAATCCCCAGTTTGTGGGTGTAAGTACTGGTAAGTGGTTCTTCTGGCTGGCTGAGTAAAGAAGTACATTTCAGAAACTGACCGCAGCTTATTTCTCTGCTCAGGTTCCAGCACGCTTCCAAAAAGGATCCTAATTGCAGGTCTTTCAAACAGTAAAATCTGGAGTCTAGTTTTTAACTTAACATGAAGAAGTAAAATAATTTGCAGCTTTAGCGCTTGTACTTCATCAAGCTCTTGTTCCAAACATGGGATAACACAGGTTAATAACTTGTAGTGCAAACATGGTAAATTACTAGGACTACATCTGAATGCAGTTCATCWGGACATTTTACTTCTTCCTCCCYCCTCCTTTTTCTCCTCTTCCTTACCCCACATTTAGAAAGCACTACACTGAACTCAGAGACAAGGATGTACCCAACAAGAAGACAGCAATTAGATACTCTGTCTGAAAAAGGAGACAAGAAGAAAGGGGACATTCACCACTTGGAGCCACTTTCTTTGCTCARTGCATTAAAGAGCTGACAGCTGCATTGTTCCCACATGGAATTTTCTTTTTGGTTCAATGGAATCAGCTGAACTTTCCTTCCTTTCTTCTTTTGTCCCCAGAGTTGTTCTTTATGTCTGGAGCCTGAAGTTTTACTCTTCAGTCTCTCTTGTTACAACTGATAGAACAATATTCTGTTAATAAATAAAATTTAAAACTTCTTGAAAGGTGAAGGGGAACAAATAACAGATATTAAGGCTTAGGTAATATTTTAACTTAAAACATCCAGTTGCTGGCTAGCTGTGTATCTATTGATTTTCTCCCCATGGTTTTCAAGTCCTGCTAAACTCTGCTTCTGTAACTTCTGTGGAGAGATGAGGTCTCAATGCTCTGAAATGTTTTGGCACAATATATATAGATATACTCACTGTCCTTCTGGTGCCAGCGCACTGCATGCAGGAAAGCACCGCAGTAGTGGAACAGGAACTCGTGCCTGGAGTGCTGCACTGTCCCCTGCAGCAGGGGCAGCAAATTGTGCCCATCTATGACCCTGAAGGAGAGGACCAGAGTCACCAGACAGATTAAGTATTTTAAGTCTGCAGCTTGAGCATGAGCAGTTCTCACTCTCTGTGAATGCACCATTAGGATTTCAAGTGTCATCGCTAAACCAAGGTACTGTTTAGCTAATGAGCACTGAGATTTTCAATTGGATGAATGGGTGGACACCAGTAATTAGCAGTTACTAGAAGTTCCTGCATTTACAGCTTGATCACACATCCTGCCTGGGGAGATAAGTCACCATTAGTGTAATTTTCCTGGAAGTGATAACAATAGTGAAGGCAYGGTTCACAGGTTTTAATTTTGCTACCTGAAATGGAAATTGCTGACAGCTCTGTGAGCTCCGGCCCTTGTAAAAATAATAATAAAAAAAAGCCACTTACTGAATTGCCTAACAGTTGGTTTAGCTACACACCACCAGTACTTTTATCCTTTTTGCAGAAATGTCTYAGCCACCCATGCTTTCTCATGTTTTTTAGAAAAGTATCTTTTTTACAGTCATCCTAGTGCCCCAAATCAACCAAGCTGCCTTTCAGTGACAGGAGAGCTGAGTTAGCTAAATGACCATTGATAAAACATTTGGGTTTTTCCTTTGCCTTTTTCACATAAACAGACAAGATGGAGAAAGCTGTGCAGAAAGAATTGTAGAGAACTGCCTCGTTTAGAAACATTTAACTTGTGGTTGTTAGGATGCATGACATAGTCAGCTTCTGTCTAAATCAAGAAAGGGAAACAAATACGGTTTGGAAAGCCATTCTGTACCTGTCCTGAGGCACTGCCCCTCCAGCCAATTGAACTACTGTAGGATAAATGTCCATAAGGCTTGTAGGTTCATCRATAACCATYCCTGCAGGCAATACTCCTGGCCATCTAACTATACCTGGAACACGGATTCCTCCTTCCCATCCTCCCATTCCTTTTCCACCTGTCAGAAGGGGGAAAAGTGTCAAAAAAGATAAAAGAATAAAAGGTACCAGATGTTTATGGGACAGGTGTAATAAAAGGTTTTAAAAGTTTTAGAATATTCATGTAACTTTAATGAAAACACACTAAGTCCTGAGAAAGAGTAGATTGTAATTCAGTAGTGGCTCTTCTCATTATTTGTATGTGTGGCTTATTTATCTGCTTGGTTTTAATATGCAGTTCCCAATAATGAATAGTGAATTTTACAGATATTTATTTTATTCCAATAGTGAATTTTACAGATATTTATTTATTAAACTCCACTTTTTATTCTTGCTAGTTAGTCTCACTGGGACTGTGGTACTGTGTTCTGCTGTGGACATAAATAGGAATGTCTTCCTATTATTGATATCTAAACTGATAYTGTATCCCCTCTTGCCTCCTCTCTAAGCAGGCATGATTTTATTATTATCCTCTCATCCTAAACTCCCTAATCACGTTTCTCTTTCCCCTCCAGACTCTCCTGTTACTAATAYACTTATGTTCAGCTAGTAGAAGTGAGTTCCTGAGATCAGATTCCAAATTATTCAAGTGAGTCACTTGGCCCTTTTGCATCTGTTACTGGCATGGAAACTTCATCACAGGAACTAAATGCTAATTTTGCATTTAGGACTATCCCTGGATGGATCTGAGCTGTATCAAACATTGCTTGTGTGGCTCCTCAAGTTAACTGAGTACCAGACAATGTGCACTGTGATGCTGAGCAAGGTCAAGGTGACTCTTCTGTAGGGAAACAAGTGATGGGTGCAGCTTTCACACTTCATCACACAGTGAGTGCCAAGCTGCCCAAGATGTCACCGTTGTTTTCCAAGGTTTGGCAGTCTGGAGGGATCCCAGGCAAGTGTTAAGAACCMTTGACTTTGTTTTGGTCCTACAAACCAAGATTATAATCCCAGTGTATGGTTTGTTAAGTGTAGTCTGCCTGGATATTTTTTTTTTTAAGAGGAAGTCTTATGCATGTATGTACTACTAAAATTTTACCTTTATAGATCCCATTCCATCCACCCAACTGAGAATTTCCTCTGTGGGCCTCTAAGAATCCTCCATGATCAGATGCAAAATAAATGAATGTGGTATTCTTCAAGCCCTCTTTGTCAATAACATCCAGAAGCCTACCTATAAACAAAGCAAAACATCATAATTACACCAGGAGATGCAGTCAGATTTTTTTGGTATTGACTCTGTCAGCTTTCTTCTGTAAATTCTGTGTCAAGAATTGYTTTCACTATGTAGCCTCAAATATCTTGAAAAGCTTTAATGATAGTGCTGCTTTGATTACTAACCATAKAAAACTGCTGTGTCTCACCAGGAACTGAACAGGGGCTCTGAGACCAGGCTGCATGCTGTCAACCAAAATCATCTCCTGATATCAGTGGCAAAAACTTCACAGACTGTAATTCAAACCTGAATTCATAAGGAATGTTTTTGGTACTGACTGCATCAAATGTTTATATAGAATAGGATTTACCTTCAATTAATTGTCTTCATCAACTTCTGCATCAAATATATTTGCCAAGAACAGCTTCCATAGCTACAGAAGCAGCAGCAAAAGCTGAACTGCACAAGRAAAAAGCACGAGCCACTGATGAGCATTTTTGCTCAATCTCTTTTCCTTTACAGGCTTCCTGTGTCTCCTTGGTGAAATTAGTTATTGACCTTACCTACAAAATCTTCTCCCAGAAAGATTCTAGGCATGTTCCTTCTGAATCAGACCCCAAATCTCATAGCTGTCCAACTCTGGAGAGTTCTGTCTTCACTAGCTGCCTTCCTGTTCCTGTAAGGAACTGCCCAAGGCATGTTCCTTTTGTCTYGACTTTGCTATCCAGCTCTGCTTATGTAGCCTGTGTCTGAAGCCAAAAGTTTGAAAGAGGAGCACAGATGAATCCTCTGGTTCAACTGCATCTTGCAGGAGTTTTCAGCCTGCCCAGTGGAAGCAATCAGGCTCCTCTCAAAACACAATTTTGTAGACATGGTTACTGGAGGATTAAAAGGTTCAGAGATTGAATTGTGGCCTTGACACAATTACTTTGTCAATAGGGTCCTCACATTTGACTAAATACAAACAGTAGCTATCCCTCTCCCTATCACGGAAAAGAAAAGGAACTACTAAGTTTAGGTTTTTAAACCTAATTAAACCAAGCAGAAATTTAACCTGATTGGCACTCAAGAGCCTAGATTAACCCGTAAGTGAGTTTTTTCTGACTTCACACAATGCATTAAGTGAAACACCATAGCTTTCTTGGCCTTTTGGCTAGGAGAGGGTTCTGATTTTTTTTTTTTTGATAAAATAAGTAAGTACACAAAACAACCATCATATAATGTAATACTCAGCAACACTCTTTACATTTTCTGAGACCAAACACAGGTGGAGAAATGTCATACATTTTGATTTAAATCATGATTGAGGGCACATTTGATTCTTTGACTGCATTTAAAACTTCAGTGTAGAAATGTGTCATTTAAAAAAAATATAACAAATCCTTATGAGGAGAGTTTAAGCTTTCATCTTAAGAAAATAAAAAAGAGGTATGGTTATGATATGGCAATCTCTGAAACCCACTGTGTAACCAGGGTGAGTTCACTGATTTTTACAAACGCCAAAAGGGAGTTTAGTGATGACCCCTTTAACGTCTTTTCCACATTTAAATGAATGGAGAATTTTCTTCAAGACCAACACTTACCCACCATCCAGTCCATCTCCTCTACATTGTCTCCATACAGGCCATGCCTGCTTCTTCCCTKAAACTTCTCTGTGGTAATGAGAGGGGTGTGAACATGTAAAAGGGAAACAAAGAGAAGAAATGGTCTATGCTTGTTTCTGAAATAAAAGAAAACAACAGTCATTTCTCTTCTTCAAACTGTCACTCAGCCCAAAATATAACAGATATATTGCAGTTACTATCTCAATAAATATCATTGTTGTGACTTAGACATTTTTTTTTTTTTATTTTGACATCTTTTTATCTTTGAGGTTTTGGGAGACAGARGGGATTAACACACACCCCTCAAATATGTTTGCTCTTTATTAAGACTCCAAAAGTAATGGGCCTTTTGTAAATCGGTAACAGAATCTTCTTCCAGTTCCAAATTAGAGAGGTCATGGCCAAAAGACTGACACATTCTTGGAAGCAAGGAAAATAGGACTCACTCCATGAGTGTCCTCATGGAAGAGGCAGATATCACACAGAGTGGGTGATATCAGTGGGTTTCACCCATAGGGAAATCATATCCCTTCCATACCAAGCCAGGATATCCTGGGAAKCTGAGATTACCTATGCTCAGAGTTTTAGAGAGGGAATTTATATYACCTCAAAATTCCTTTAAAAAACAAACACACAAGCCATAAACCCTGACAGAAATATGCATATGCTTAGACTTAACATGTGGATATTTTTAAACATTTAGTGGTTTGTTCAATTCCAGTTGAAATTACTGATAGTAAACAAGGGACACCTTTGGGGAGAAAAAAGAAACAAAACCACTAAACTAAACAAAACTCCCTATCTCTCTCCTGTTTGTGAAATATTAACTTCATGTGACACTTTCTGTGTTAGTCCATTGACCACCCTAAGATCATTTTTCTGTTCTTAGTGGCAGAAGGCTCAGTCCTTAGCCAGGACCCTTTTGCATCGCTTGCACACCTCTGGTCTTCTCACCTCTGCTGATTACCTGTTAATGAATGTAACTGCCTCCTTCAGCACATTGGCTGTAGTTTTTTGTAGATCCATTGGCTGTTCAGTGATATCATGGTTTCTCATCAGGATACAGTTCCAGTACTTGGTGAAACCRTAGCTGGAGAACCAGGAGATGAAATAAAGGAGACTGCAGATAGCCAGACAGATGATTATTTTCCATTTTACYGGGAATAAATTGGTAAGTTTTCCAATCACAAGAGTAAATACTGCGACGATGATCATCTGAGTGTAAAACCAATACGTATCTTGCAAAGATTTGGCCAGTTCAGGGTCATCTGTGCTTTGACACTCATTCACAAGGGTAAAAGGCATGCCATAAAAATAACCAAAACCATGATTTAAAGGATGGTGGCAGTGATCATGGCGGGCTTTGCAGTTCACACCCATATGCCACTTCCCTGGAAATATAAAACAAATATCTTAAATCCAGTATTACAACTCTTTGGTGTGTCTGCCTGTATTTCCCAGTTAAAGTGCAGCCAAGGGAGGAGCTGGTGTGGAATGGGGAGAGACTCAGGGAGCAACAGGACACTGGCACTATCTGTCTAGAACAGCTGCTTTTCCTCACTTATCTGTTTAAATTCCATGCAGGGCAACAGTCCAGCTTGGACATCTCCCTTAGTAAGAACAAACATGGGCTGCAATAATTGGTGGTTACTATTTTTCACATGATGAAGTAGCCGTGCAATAATGTGCAACCTGACAGGGAGAAACYGGAGAATCCCTTGTGCCAAAATATGAACTATTTTACACACTAGYTCTATCTGACATTTTTCTGCTTAATACACCAGTGAATATCTCTGTTGGTTCATCCTAATGCAATCTGTCCTGGGCAAACAAGACTCTTTCCTTTGAATTCCATTGGCATTGTGTATTTACGTGTTCCATATATCCTCATTTTGGATTTGCTAGATATAAAATACTGACACTGGGAGTTGTGGATAATGTTCTAGAATCTCTGTTGATTTTGAAAGTTATGCATACAACAAAATCTGTTTTTTTGACAAAAAAAAGATATTTACAGAAGCAGCCTAATTAGAATATCAAGCAATTAAAAGGCAACAAGTTTCTTTGTCTCATACCTACAAGCGCTGTAGAATAACCTTGCTGGTGGAGTATTTTGGCAAAAGTAGTCTCATTTGGTGGGAGCCCCCCAGAACCACCATTCCAGAAGAGRACCTGCCGTTGAGTGCTGGATGCCATGCCTAGGGAGCAATTGTAGCATTTAAGATTTAAAAAAGCCAGATTTCTGATCTTCAGTCTTCTCAGACTGTGCTTTACTTGGCTGAAWTAAATCTGTTTTAAAACACAATTGTTGAGAACTATTCTACAGTCTGACACATTTCACTGTGAAAAAGTTTGCCAGGATATTRAAAAGATTACATTTAAAATAATCCTAGTGCTACTGAACATACAACATTTACAGAATTTTCTTCATTTTTCTACCTCTGGTTGCTTTGTACTGTTTAGATTTTCATCCATTTCTGTGTTGTCATTTAGCCACATTAAATGTGTTTTTAATGGGGATTTTCCCATAGAAATCAATTATTAGTCATTTCTATTTTCTGCCCATCTCACTGAGACGYCAAATCCCAAGATTAACTATTCTTCAGAATGGTTTATTTAAGGGGATTTTTATTATCAACACTGACTAGACGAACTGCAGCAAACCATTAGAGAGAGGCCCAACCTGATCTGATCGGGTATCTGCCAGTCAGGAAGGCGGCTCTGCTTGGAGTGCACACAGCTGCTGCAGCAATGTGCTGAGTGAGTCTCACTCCATCCTTTGCCAGGCCATCAATGTTAGGGGTCCTAAAGAGAAAAATCCCATCTCTGATAAAAACATATTGCACAGAAATTAATGGTATCCCGCTCTCCTTGCTTTGTTGAGAATATCACCATCAATTTCACAAAAATATGTTTACCTACCACTCAGCTAGAAAAGTTCTGTGTTTTACACATATTTTTGAGACACCTTGACTCCTTAGAAACAAGTTTTCCATGGGCATATGTGTTTTTATTAATAACTAAACAAAAGGGGGCTGGGGGGAGGACAAGGTATCTCAGGTATATCCCACACCAAAATCCTATGCAGCACAGGAAAAGACACATAATTCTCTCAATCAATCTATATAAAGATTATTAACTGCACCCTGGATAAATATATCACATAGATTGACCTGTCATTTCATAACAAGTCTACTAGAGTTGTTAACTGAAATTAAATTCTAATCTCAGTTCTTCATATTTCAACCCCGAAGTTGCAGAAATTTATATATTATACACAGGTCTGACAAGTGCAGTGCACAGGCACATTCGCAAAGTTCTAAGTCCAACAAAGTTTCTCAAGCTTGTCTGTATGATTATGACCCCAGCAGGAATTACTGTAGAATATTCATTTTGTACATAGTTTGAAAACAAGTGTATCTAGATAAATGAATAAATTAATAATTAGTTTTTAATGCTAAGTATCATCAGTGTTTTTTAYTGAAGTTCACCTGGAAGGGATAATTTTATTTCATACCTTATTGTGTCATTGCCATAGCAACCCACATCTCCAATACCAAGATCATCAGCCAATATAAGTAAAAARTTAGGTTTTGAAGGATTTGATACACAGGTTCTTGGAAACAAGCATAAAATTAGCCAAATTTTCAGGTAGATCCTAGAAGCAAAAGTAAAGAGGTAATATTACAGAGAAACAATTGTAAGTTTTACTTTAAATTACGCTTGTAAAAGTTTTATGGGAACTCACCATACGTGCAAACAGCAATCAAAGAGTGCCACCAGATGGAGCTCCTGAATATTTACAGAAGTCCTTGAGTTTTATAATATTAGTATAATTTTCTGGGGGGTTTATTATTATTATTATTATTTTATATTATTTATTGTTATTATTTATTCACACAGGAATTTTGTGTTTGCCTTTCTTTATCAACATTTGCACTGATCTCTGCAGATATTTCCAGCTCTAATGAGTGGYTGGATACTCACAAGTATCCCGAGGCACTCCTTGTACAGGGGGGTAGGATGGTCCTGTTCAGGCTCCTGGAATGAGTGGGACAGGAGCACGAAAGTGACAGGTGTGGAGTCACTCTGGTCATTGTGGCAATGGCTTCAATGTGGCATCTGCTGCACCCAGTGTGTCTGGAAAGGGCTCCTTAAACCATGGGACCATCTGCAAAATGAAGGTGCAGCTTAAACTTGGTTTCCTTCCTAGAAGAGCCTAAAAGTATCTCTGCATGTTTTAGTTGTTCAAGGTGTTTGTTTGCAAAGGAAGCTTACAGATTCTCACCTGAAGTTAAACACACATGTTAGAACACATCTTCTTATTGCTTGCTCATTAGTAGATACTGCAATGTGATAAATGCATAGTAAATGTACTATACTGCATTATATAAACTCCAAACTCTCCAAGTCTTTTTTAAGCAGGATAAAATGTCTTGAAATACCAGCAGATCCAAACCTGTATCAGCTACTCAGATTCTCTTTGAGCTGGGGTGGTGGTAGCAGGGAGAAAGGAAGAGATCTGCTYACATTTTCTTAAGGACATCACCTAAAAGCCAGGAAGGAACCTCAGGGAATGTCTTTCTTACCATTGTTTTCCCTGGTAAACTTCATAGTTTTCCATTTTATGAAACAGGTACATTGTTGGTCATATAAATTCTGGTGAAAAAAGAAAAAAAAAAAATTAGAGGTCAGCAGTTCTGGTGATTTTGCATGCAGTTTTGCAAGATCTGGCCTGTTCCCAGCTGCTGATAGCTCCAGGGGAATTTGTGAGTATCTGGAAAGAAGGTAAAGTGTTAATGGMTTCTAAAAAGTGCTAGAGGTGCCTATTACTCAATACAAGCACAGAACTCTCAGTGTTAACGAAACCAAAGTTTTCACCATTTTACAAATGAGGTAAAACTAGTATCTCACTTTTTACTTATCTTCAGGTCAACTTTAAGGAAAAGAATCTAATCTTTACCTGTAGGCTTTTAAACTTAAAAAAAACTCGAATAAAAGCCATCCTGGAAACTAATTGTGATTTAATTCCTAGGGAGGGGTAACATTCTTAGGTTTAGATGCCATCTAGTGCATTCAAGGAGGTGTTTCTATCTGAATCTTACTAAAAACTTCTGGAACATAAATATCTTTATGATTATTTCCTTATGGAACGTCAAAGCTTAATGCCATTTATAAATTTAACAAGCCAATTTTCCTACCTGCTGACCCTATGAAATTAACCTAAAAACAGACTTTAATTCCTAGACTTTAAAAATCTACGAATAATCTTTTCATTTCTTAAGTATTCATTTTTGTCTGGCAAGGCAAATTTTATGAGTGGAAGTGATTTTCTATGCTTGCTGAAATAAAGAGCACACCTAGCCACTTTGGTAAAGAAATGGCTTGGGAAATGCACTCTTTTTGCTCATGAATGGCCTAATGGATTCTACAGAAAATGTTGCAGTGGAATTGTGCAAACAGTYCTGCAGAAGTACATCATAAACTGGCCCCAGTGGGGACTGGCACATACCCAGCTTCATTGTGTACACTGAACTAAATTAGAGATGCCATTCATTCCATCACTGAAAAGAGAAAAAAAAAAAAAGGGAAATATCCCATCCATGTAATATCCCCACTTTTCCACACTTCTTTCTATTTCAAAACAGCACAAGAACAAAGACGTTATTGTGTGTCCCAAGGAACAGATTGAAAGTAATAAGAACATTTACTCTCTGAAATAACTCAAGGCAGTTTAGTAAACAAAACATCACTTCTAAACACAGAGAAGTGAAAATCTCCATCTTGACTAATGAAAGACTTCTTTGTTGTTTTCTCTCCTCCAAAAATGAAAATATAGCATTTTCTGGGAACTTTTTTTCTGCCTTTTTAGTACACAACAGTTTACATTGAATGTCTGAGGAATATTAAACTGGAAAAAGCAGAGTATAATCTCACTTCATGSGTTTCAGAGAATGAGCCATAAGAAAAAATAATTGCAGATACTGACCAGAAAAACAGTATTGAAAGAGTCAGAACCTGGGATCCATTGATTTTTCCAAGCAACATCTCGAAGCTTGTTTGGCTATGACTGAGACAATATGGGAAACAAAAAAACTAAAAAAAAACCCCAAACCCACCACCACCAAAACACAAACAAACAAATCCCCTAGCAAAACAACAGTAACTCTCTCAAGCAAACAACAAAACCTCAAGAACAACAAAACCAACATAACAAAAAAACCCAACAAACTTGATCACTGTTAGCTATGGAATTTTCTAGAGGGTTGATGATGTTTCCCTTTGCTGTTGGCAAGATCCTGAAAGCTCATCTTCCCTGCCCAGTGGGTGAGTCAGAGAAGGGGAAGGCAGCAAAGTCTCTCTGACTCAATGCAGTGGCTGTTTGAAGCAAGACCTTACTGTGAATGCAGATGCCACCAGCCCAATATCAAAAAGGGGGCTGTTAATATGAAGCAAAGGACTCGCTACTAGGACCTCAGATCTTTTGGAGAAGGCAGTGTAAGGGTGTTTCACTGTCACAGCCTGGATGCAGTTCCCCCATGACCCCAGTGAGCTCTGGTCCCACTGGACAGRGCTGGGGCTGTGATCAGGCAAGGGCATGAAGCCATTAATTGGTGAGAGCCAAGAACGAGCGATGGCTCTGGTCATCATYTATAACAGCAATATTTTCATGGTCCTTTGACAACAGAGGCAGAGCTCTGTCTTCCCAGCAACTGTTAGGCAGCTTTTGAAGAGCTTGTGGTACATGATTAAGCCAAAACTGTTGCAATGAAAATCTTCAGTCTACACCAACTAGCTGAGGATCAGCCCTTGTGAGCTGTAGTGCAGCAAAAGAAGCAGAACCTGATCAAAAGAACTGAGCATCTAAGAAATCCCTTGCCTTGCCACTGTGTTGACTCTGCTGCCCTCCTCTTTTTCCCCACAGATTCTTGCATCATGGCCAGCTGGTCACAGCAGGCACATAAATATTTAGATACCCTTTTGTAGAGCCCCTCAGGAAAACTGAACTTTGAACCAAGGAGGGGTAAAGGTGGTATTAAAAAGATCTTAACATCATTGGCTGTGGCACAATCTGATTTACTGCAAGCCATTTAAGGAGCACTCTTACTGAAGGACTACAAGAAGAACCACATTAACTAAAAAACCCACCACAATTCAAATATGCATATTCACATATCTCTGTTAGAGTCTGATTCCTTCTGAAAGCAGAGCTCTCATTGACAGTGTGATTAACCCACTACTGGGCCCCAGGGCTTGTCCASTTTCCTTGGCTCTTAAACAAGAAAAACAAAGCTGTCAAATGAGGAAAAACAACATAATTCATAAATCCAACAGCAGCCTCTAAAAATCAGCAATTTCTTACAGAAATCCAAGAATACATCAGATAGTAATTCCCTCTGTAAGCCAGTAAGCCACAATAAAATGATCATCAGGACTAATAAAAAAAAAAAGCTGACCCTTTTTAACAATGTGGAAAACAAACCCTCTTCTCCATTATTCTTGCTCCAAAATCTCTCTCGCTCCTGGGTGTGCTGAGCAGTCCTGATCCTCTAAAAGCCACGAGGGAGAAAGCAGGCAGGAACTTGCTCCTGTTCCTCTTGCTCTCCCTTCCCCCTTCTCCAGCATGGACACACCTGGGATCCCTGCCAGCAACAGCCAGCAAACGGGAACAGCCATCAAACAGGAATAGCTATGCATGTTTTACATAAATTCCAGGCAGAGTACAAAGTACTTATTCTCGAAATACAGGCACAACATGGCTACTGCCTTTTCTAGATCCCCTATCCAGTTAATGSTGTGAAAATTTGTATCAAGTCTGTCATCGCTCTATTGCAGTGCTTGAAAAGAGATGCTATAAAATACAAATAGTTTTTTTTTTTCTCCCACATAGCTTTTCCAGCCTTCCAGATGAGATAAAAAGGTCAGCTTGTTCTCCTTTTCTTCTGTCATGCTGCCTTTCTGTTTTCATTGCATTTTCCAGAAACCTGTGCTGAAGAAGTGTTTATTTGTAGTGTTTAATATCCATCCCCTTCTTTCAGATCTTATCTCTGGTGTAGTACATTTCATAATTAAGAAGGTCTTGAGCAACTACACAGAGGATCCCTATTTGTTTGCTGACATTTTGTCTCTCTGTGTTTCTTGAATACAGCAACTGCTGAATTTAAGATTGTGTTCTAGAGAAGTCACTAGGAGTCGGTGAGGTGGAAAGATAAAGCAGATAAAATGATCAGATTCATATAATGCAGTGGCAGGTAGAACCAGGGTTAAAGATTTTTTTTATTATTTTTTTACCTCCTTGCACTTATAACTATATTCAGTTATTTTTATGTTATCACATTGAGACACATTTTATTCATATCTATTTGACTATCATATTTACTATGTATAACTGCTTAACAGCAAGTGATGATTCTGGTGCAAGGATTTTTCTTGAAAAAAAAAAATATTTCTCAAAAATTACATCATACTTTGGGAAGGGCAGATCTTTGAAAATGCCAATAATCTAAGTATTAATGTTCACTGGCTTTTATCCAAATTATGACTGAATTTTTGACTGTTGACAAATTTCTCACCATGTGCTCACTACTGAA